GCAACGTGTTCGTCAGAAAGAGAGGCCACTGAACAAAACCTGGTCCTTAAGAAGTGCACTGAACTGCACTTGTTTTTAGTTTAGTTTTGGAAGCAGATAAATAAGTCAAGTCAATCAAACCCCACAATAACAAATCTCAAAATGAATCAGACATAACATCGTCACGTCCAACTGTCATCATTTGGGGTTGGGGATGTCCATGCAAGGCGAGAGGTACTTTGCACCGTACGAGCTGTGGACTCGCCGACTATCTATCGGTGCATTAAGCACAGGTGTCAGGTGGTCAGTCACCCACGTTGTGCTGCCTGGTATGAGTGGTACAAACATACCTAACACCCACGACAGTCGCCGCGCCAGTACTGTAAATATTTCTTTTCTTTTTAGGGAAATTATATTTCATTTATTTTTTTACTAATTTGTTGTTGTTCCAAATCCAATGCTAGCTAGCTGCCACATCCCACGTCCTTAATTTCTTATTACAAGGTTAGTGAAAGTTAAAACCTAGCCCTTAATTTCTTATTACCATGGATGAATGCCCCTAAAATGCATATGCTTATTCAAATGTTTGACACATTTTGTTTTGGAGTTGTTGGAGTTGTTTGAGTTGTTTATCACTAAACAAAAAATCTCTTATGACTCGTTACTTATAAAGTCGTACGAAATGAATTCTGAATACATGTAATCACCGATTGATCATAGTTAAGATTTCAAGTCAGATATTGTAGTGAAAATGGTATCAAATGTGGTGTAATAATAGATAAAAATGCTTTTGGTAGTTGTTGTTGCTATCCACAGAGCAATAATATTATAGATGGTAAGTAACCGTCGAGGGTATAAGCAAGCTGGAGAGCACGCGGGTGTATTAAATAATGACAGCTGCTAGCTAGATATGCTTTGTTTTGCTTTGCTATATCATTCATCATTCAATAAGGGGAAGGAATTGCCAAGCTTGACTGCTTAATTGTTTTGTTTCTGCCCTTTCATGTTTCTTTTTGGCAGTGAAATCTCAACTCTCTCTCTCTCTCTCTCTCTCCCCCTCTCTTACTTTAGAAAAAGTCCCCAAACCGTCCAAAAAACAAAATGTAGAAAACGCGTTTCTAACTGAGTTCAATTTGTCAGCACCGACTAATTTCCTAGTATATGCAATGCAGCATTGAAAGCATAAATAATGTAGTCTTACGTACGTACTATAAAGTAAAGTAGTGGACCAAGTAAAAGTCAGCTCAACTTGTAATTTACTCTGCTTTTCCACACACAGACACAGACACACAAAAAGAAAGAAAAAAAAAGTGATATTATTCTAGGCAGCTACATTATGTTGACGTTTGCTGGATTCGATGATTTGGCTTTTGTTTCTTTTTTTTTTTCCATTTTTCTTGAGGGAGGTGATTCTGCCGGTCCAACCGGTCCCAAAATGCAGAGGCAGGTTTGACCTAATTTTAATCAGAAAGACAGATAGATACTGATCGATTACTGGCCAGTGGCCATGGCCTACCAAGAAAATATTTTCAGCCCATGCATCGTCATATTTAGCTAAGAAAGAGAAAAGATCAATAATAAAATGGACGATGATTGAACCAAAGTAGCTAGCTTCAAATTAACTTGGACCACTTGATTGATTTAGAGTGGGGCCATCCATAGAACTAAAATGGGTCTTATCCATCTAGATTAATCTGATCTGTAGTCGGCATGAGCGTTGACGTTGATCCATCATTTTCTTCAATTTCCTTCAATGCGACCCAAATTATACTTAATTTCAATTAGGGTTTTACCAAAACCATCATTTTCAATGTATTCTATCTCTTTCTAAATTCTATGTAGTAATTATATATTGCATTGGAATTTGATCCGTTCCGTTTTCCAATCCACAAACCAGAACTTGTCAAGTAAGTTTACACAAGTCTGCACGGACCCACCCAAGAGCTTGTCAAGGAAGGAACAATAAATAGATGGAGTCAATTTCTTTGAAACATAATCCAAGTTAACGAGTAAGTAAGAAATGGTTCCTTGAAAACTTTCAAATTTTCAAACACATGTATACGTGACAGTGTCAACCTAACCCAAAGCTTTTTCTACCCAATTAATTATACAGAAATTGACATATATTTTATTCCGAAAAATCACCAAATTCAACCTGCTTTACTTGACAATTAAGTTAAGGACTTATGCTAAAAGTATATGTTTTCCATTGCATGCCATGCAGAATGGTTTAAAATGAAAGTTTGGTCCAATGCGATTTTGTCAACCCGGAATGCGCCCCTGGTATGGTTCCATCTTGTCATAGAGCTACCACATCCCTTCGGCCCTTTAAATAATAAATTGGTCAGAATTAAATAGCTAGCTTGTCACTCACATCACATGAGCTAGCCTAGCTATATGCAAATGCATGCTCCACTAGCTATGTATATATATATATATATATATATATAAATGCAGTTGTTTGTTATCCCCCCACTGGATTCTAAAGTTGTCTTTATAAACTTGATGATGATGATGATAATTTATAGCTCGCCTCGCCCCCTCAAACAAGTTGTGGTTGTTAGTTGACATTGAATGAAGGTACACATATTAATATTACACAAGTCACCCAAGTTGATTTTTATTATTCAGCTTAATTAAGATTGACTTTCCTATAGTTAAAATAATGTGTAAGAGATCAACCAATTAAGTTAGCTAGAAAGTACATATACATATACATAGAAATTTCATGTAACTTGTATTATATACATATATTGGAAAAAATGATACAAATTTTGCAAACGTGAGTTGGTCAAGTTAGCTAAAGTAATGGGTCCAATGTCTGCCTTGTTGCACTAAAGTTTGAACTCCCCCTTGATTATAATAATTCGGAATAATTTGATTATAAGTGGTACGTACGCTTTGCCTACAACTATGCATCAGCAAAGGAGCAAAAGGAGAGCATGCGTGCATTATGCGAGAACACCTACAGCTAAACAAAAACAACATGTTTAGTTGTTGATCCTCATCTACTTATATAGAAATGCTAATAACTCTATAATTACATTATTGTATACATATAAATCCATGATAATTAAGGGAGGAAAAAGAAAAGCGGATGACAAAATGCATAGTCTAGCTAAGGTACTCTATTATTTCATAGTTGTGTGTGCTTGCCTGCATTAATCATAGTTTGGCACATGGTATCACGATTGCCTAACTAATTATGTTTAATTATACACAACTTTGTTACCCCGTTGACATAATTCAGTCTTGTCTTTCCAACAGGAAATAAAGAAAGAGTTTTAGGAAATCAGATTGCATGCATAGAATTAGCATGAGGAGGAGGTTAAGGAAATTAATCTAAGTTAGGTCACCGAAGATGTGGTCAACGCACACTTTGTAGATCGATCGATCTTACCTACTGAGCTGAGAGAGCATTGAGAGAGCATTGAGAGAGCAAGCAAGCTGGCATCATGAATAATTATAAACAGTACCACCAACCATGCATGATGCATACATCCCATTCCCATTCCCACTGGTGGTAGTGGATAAAATTAAGTGATCTCAAGTTTCAACAATTATAGACAGCACCACTAGCTAGTCTTTGTTCTGCAGCCTGCATGGATGGCCGGAACAACATCTAGCTATCACGAGCTTGACCTAATGGTTGGTTGGTGCCACTGCCACTCTCATGTGATTATTTTATTCTGATCATAATTCATAACCCAAAAGAGAGGCGGCGAAAAGAAAATGAATCTTAATCTTAATTAAAAAGGTAATTAATGCTGCTATGCTAGCTATCTCATTACTGATCATTACAGGATGTCTTTTTTCTTTAATTAATTAAGACTGGGTTGGAAGAAAAAGTAGACTGGGTTTGAAGAAATGAAAAGAAGAA